TCGTAACACATGTATGTGTTACTCGAAATCTGCAATTAATCAGGTCGTTCCATAAAAGCTTACGCAACGCGCTTTCGTTACACCATCGACGATTATTCCTCCGCATCACGTGGTGTTTAATAACGCGCGAAAGCGTCTCACATCCCGCGTTTCGTCATTGTGTGATGACACTTATACCCGATCTTTCATCTGGGCCCAATTCGACGTGCCCGCCGCCGATAAAATCACCAACTCGTACTGGCATCGATGCAAATTTTCCGTACATCAACGGAGTTCTACGTAGCCCGATGAATGATTTCGTGTACAATTTTTATAACCCTTCTGCTATTAAAAGAATTAATAAAATTACTTTCAGAACGTTAACAGAGCTTTTACGAAATATTTTATAATTTGTGATTATTTTAAATTTATTCGGCTTCAAGAATTTTAATTTAAATATCTTTTCTCGCTTGAAAGAAATGTGTGATTTTCTATCCATTTCAATCCTTCAGAGATGTGTCGAAACATAAATAAGAATTGCAATAAATTACCCTTTTCGCAATGCTTCATACGGAGCGAAATTGGTTCAAAAGACTGCTTATCTCGGCGCATTGGCCGACTAGCAATTTCATTTCTGCCGGTCGACGATTTGTTTTAATCAGGCCGTTATATCCCTCCCCCCCCCGCTCGTTGTCTGCCCCCGTTGTTCTGTCGTTCACACCGGTTTGCGCCGCCTTCAATTTGCGGCGCCGTCTCTCTGCGGAATGTCTTCTAATAATCGCTAATTAGAGTTAATAGCGTACACGCCAGCCGCTCGTTGTATCGCATCGTCGAGAATGAATCGCGTCTAGTTTCCGAGAAAATCGACGGCAATTTAATAATAATAATAGAAGCTATGAGAGAGAGGGAGAGAGAGAGAGAGAGAGAGAGAGAGAGAGAGAGAGAGAGAGAGATATTACAGCAAAATTATAGGCAAACGAATATAAATAATAAAAATTATTTTTATGCACGATAGTGTTTATAACTTCATCTCGTTACATATTTAAATCTCCGGGATAGTTCAGATAATTAGAAAGAAGAAGAACAAAATTGATAACTCGTCATACCTGCTATGTAATGGGTTGCATGCCGATTTATAAAGGCGGATTACATTTTATTTGACATTAACTCATAACAGCAAATAATATTAAAGTGAAGAGTTTACTCACTTTCCTATCGTTTTGCTCATTTTTATCTCTAATCGTGTATCTTCTGATCGTGTTAACTGTATTTTGCACTTCACCTTTAAATCGATATGTAACTCGTTACATAGCAAGTATGATGAGTTATCCTTTTTGTTTGTGGCGATACATGATACTTTGATGGTTATTTGGCTTATTACCTGGAAAGCGGAATTTATCGGGTAAAATTATCAAATTAATTGCAATGAATACGAACGAAAGTAAATCGAACTGTCGGGACATAAATTACATCTACGTATATGTATGCGCATAGCGATCACGTTCGAATAATGTAGTAATATTTTTGCCAAAACGTACTCTGCATCGGTTGTAATTATAACAAAATTAGCATACTAGATGTAGAATTAATTGCGCAATTCAAAGAGAAATCTCGTATGACTCCGATATGATTTTAGTAGAAGGCTATCAATCTCGCTAGTCGGAAGTAAAAAAAAATGCATTAAAAACGTATTACGTTACACAAGAGAACAGAATTGCTCGGATATGCGAAGTATTTTTTTACAAGACTCAGTAAATTAAGAAATAATGTTTCCTGCTGCAAAAATTTTTTCCTCAATTTACTAATTTCAGCCAATTAAATATTTCAACTTCCTAGTACCTACTGCCAAAAATTTTTAATCATACATATCTCGTAACAACAAAAATTTCGATGCATATTTTATTTAAAATACAAGAAGATTTCATTAAGATGTCAAATATTTCAATATAAAAAAAAAAAATAAAAAACAAAATTTAGTCTTTCATTGTATTTTTCTGCGATTTAATTCTAAGAAAGAAAACTTATGAGAAGTAATTGAATGGATAAAATGAAATTTTGCAATTTCTCTTAATCTAAGCGGCGTATTCTCACCTCAGATTTTAATTAACGTTTCGAAGGTAACTTGCTGTAGCGGGTCTTAACAGGGGCCTAAGGGCCATTGACTGGGAGGCCTAAATCGTTGCGGCGCGATACG